GAGAGAGAGAGAGAGAGAGAAAGAAAGAAAGAAAGAAAGAAAGAAAGAAAGAAAGAAAGAAAGAAAGAAAGAAAGAAAGAAAGAAAGAAAGAAAGACCAGGGAGTCTGTTTAAGGGGTATGGGAAATTTATTATGATATAAATTGGGAAGAACAACTCACTAAACAGAATAGGCAAAATCATGGCAGAGTCCTGGAAGGCTGATGTCTAGTCCCACACTGCTTCTGCCACCTTAGCCAGTCCATGCTGTCCAAGTCCATGAGGGAAAGAAGAGAGCTAGGCATAAGTGCCCCTCAGGTCTTAAGCTAGCCCTGAGGCCACAACCTAGGAGCTGGTACCTCAAGGTCATAGATGGAACAATAGGCACTACATCTCCCTTTTTTGTTTAAATAAGAAAGTTCTAACCTAAAATAAAACTATATGCAATAGGAACAATTATCAAGTATTATCCAGGAGAGGGGAAAGGTAATAACATAAACAAAAATAGAAATACAACCAACAAGAACAACATCAAACAAGAAACACATTGTCCAGAAATGTCCAGACCATTTCTGGTAAATGGAAAGTTACAGAGATTACTCCAATAGCTATCCTATCCTGAAGAATCTAACTTTTGTACCTAAAATGCTCTTAGCTAAGATATGAGAGGACTATAACTGTAACTATCTAGTCTTCAACCTTATCAAAGACCTGAAAAGGAAAATAATATTACCTTAGTAAACAGGAAGTGCAAACAAGCAACTTCCAAAAACTTGCAAGAATTGACAGAGACAGATGGCACCCTGGACAGTCACCTAATATTTTTCAGCACCATTGAGGCATCCATTTTAGCTACAGGCCTAGAATATCTGACAGACCCTTTTCAGAAACAGGAATTTTGAAAGACTGTCTTACCCTGGCTTGGCAAGGTTCAGCAGTCACTTTTCCTTGTGTCCTGCTATCCAAAAAGGACAGCATGCAAACTGTCTGCAGCCAAGGCAAGGGCAGTTCTTTGCCCAGGAGGTTGTTTTTTGCCAAGAAGAAGACAAACTGCCATTTAGAATGTCTTCAATGCCCAACATTCTCTTGGGAGTAGATTGGTGCTGCCAGGAGCAATTGTGTCTCATGTCAAAAGAATTCTAACTTATCAAAACATCTAAATGCCATTCTCTCTAGGTCTATGAAGTATTTGAAGATTACCTATCCACCTGACAATTATTTCTACAAATCTGGAAAACCTAACTAACATAATTATGAATATGACAAGCATTCATATTAATTATTAATCATAAATCTTATCTATCCAAATAACCTAAGGACTAAGGCTTCACATAAATAAACAATCTATAAACAAATACTATATAAGGAAATGACCTCAAAATTGTGACAATATACAAAATGCCTTAATCAGAGGTAGAAATGTATAGCTCAATATAAAAATAATATCCTTTTTATGTATCAATATATAAAATATTCTAAACAGAGGAAGAATATACATATAGTATGATAAATATAATTATACATCTGTATCAATATACAAAATATTTCAAACAGGATAGGAACATATGTACAATATGACAATTATAGATTTGAATTTGTATTAACATACAAATTATCTTAAATAGGAATAGAAAAATACATATTTCTATTTAAATTTGTATCAATATAGAAGAATCTATATCAGTGCAAATTATCTAAGGCTGATAGTTTGCTAAATTAGTTTACAAGTAGATACAATAATCTACCTTAATATCCTATCCTATCCCCCTTTTTTCTGTTTCAAAAAGAGAATCCTGAGTCTAAACTTTATTGTTCCACCCTTAACCCTATAACAACTTATAAACAACCCTTAACAGATGACAACTATTTATAAACCTGAGAAAACTAAACCTTTTGGGAGAGGGGACATCTTTTTCTTAAATTGCTTCCTACTGTCTAGCGGGTAACAGTATCTCTGTGGGATCCTGTAAGAAAGCAAAAACAATGGTTAAGTCTCATGAAGACTATCTGTAATGTTTGCAGCAAGTCTCAGAGGAATGGGTAAGGTTTGTCTAAAGTTCTGGCTAGAAGTGTAATATGATGAACCATCTCATCTTGGAACTGTCCTGAAGAGTTTGCAGTCCAAAGCTGATCATTGAATGGTGTTTGTTGGTTCAATGACATCATTATAGACTGGGTAGTCATTGATGTAGGACCCCATCTTCCTTCCAGAGACTTCAAAGATTATTATTGAAAAGATTTATTTTTTACTGTGGAAAACTTGAACATTATTAATATCCAAACGGAAAGTTTAAATTTTTAATGACATGACTTTGAAGAAGGATGCCAAGGAATCAAGAATAAGCATGGAGAGAAATAGAATCTTGACAACGATGGTTCCTATTTTATTGGTTTTCTTCTGTCCCACACCAGTTAGCTCTTCTGATATGAGACAGAATTTTTTTTCTTTTAGCAACATGCTTGGGTTTATAGAAGGAAAGAGTCACATTCCAACTCCAAAGCCAGCTTGATTTATAATTGAATCAGGACCACAACTATTCTATAGTTAAAGAGATATTGATGTTAGGCAGTGAGATATTACCCTGTAGAGTATATTGGTACCAACAGATTCTTCCCTTCTGCTTTAGACATCTTGGTGTCCAAGGCCTTTTGATTTCTTGAAGATGGGTATTTCTATTATTCCGTAAAGACAAAAAACAAAACCTTGGGGAAATTTAGGAGAATGAAGGTTAAGGAATTGAAGAACACTGGACAAATGAGACAACTGAAGAAAAGGGACAAATCATCTATCCCAAGAAACAGAATGAAACGATGTATGAGTATATATTATCTAAAAAATTTTATGTCTTCTTAAATGTTTGTTTCTGCTTTTCTCTAAAGATTTAACACTATTGGTCTTCTAATAGTCCCAGTTCAATTAAAATTTAAAGCTGACTTTGGAGTTG